CCCGGGGACAGCCCACACGGTGACGGGCGCGGGTGGAAGCGCCCATCACCGCAGCCCTGGGCCCGTCGGGGCCTCACACAGGCCGTGCCGCACGGGGCAGCCCCACCCGGAGGCTGATTCTCAGAAGGACCGTCCTGGGCGTCCCTCCCCTGCATGTATTCCCAGCACGGCAGCCCTGGCGGCGGGGGGACAGCAGGTGCGTCTCCTGTGTCTCTGCACCTGGGAACCTGCCTGGTGGACGCTCTCGGGGGGAGCCCTCCTGACCGGGAACGACTTCAGGAACCGCAGGACACACGACAAGCCGCGTCTGTTAGAGCGCGGGCTCCAGACACGCCTGCGCGGCAGCCGGCGCTCCCGGGAAAACACAAGTCACGCAGACTCAGGTGTCCGGCGGTCCTGATGGGACAGAAGCCAGCACGGCCCCTGGGAGGCCACCTGCGTGTCCCCGTGTTGAGGGCGGCCTCACGCCCAGCGAGCCCCGTCCCGTGGTCACCCCGGGGCCTCTGGGCACGTGCGGCCTCCTGCCATGACACAGATGCTCCGAGCCAGGCCCGGGCTCCCCTGCTCGCTCCCCCGTGTCCCCCAAGCAGGGAGGAAGAGCGCAGAGCAGTGGCCGAGCCGGCCCCCCACACGCAGCCTCAGGCCCCACGCGGCACAGGTACGTGTGCCGTGGGTCCTGCTGGGGTCGTGGTGGGCGGGGGGCGGTCAGACCTCGAGGTCGGCGGGCGGTTGTCCAGGTGGCGCCGCAGGCAGGACAGGGCAGCGACCCTCGGGCGGCGACGACCATCATCACAACCGGGCGGAGGCGACGCTCCGGAAGGACACGCACTTTGCCACGGGTGACGTCCGCGGAATTTCGCACAGACAGCCCAGCAGGATCCAGCAGCCCCAGGACAGGAGCCCAACGGGCAGAAGTTAAGTGTGTTTCTAAATATGAGCCAAGAAGGGGCAGCAGAGCACGTCCCGCCGTTTACAGGAACAGAAGGAGCCCGATGTTGGGGACAAGCCCGCAGCGGGAGACAAGCCCCCGACGGCGGAGCCTCCCCCGAGAGACAAGACTCTGGTTTCCGGGGAAGGTCATGTTTTGAGCGACGTTACCGGACGGCATCCCTCAAAATACAGGCGGTGGGGGCCCCAGGGTGTGGCAGCGCGTGCAGGGTGGCGAGCGGCGAGGACACGGCTGCTCAGGCTGGGCTCGGGGATGCAGGACACGAGGCGTGGGGACGGCGACGGCTCCGGGGCAGAGGAGGCGCGAGGAGTCAGGGCGACGGGGAGACGAGTGAGCAGCTGACCCCTGACAGGGCGTCTGGGTGGCTCCGCTCTGCCCTCGGGCACCCGGACCACACACCCGGCCGCTTCCGATCCCAACACGGCCTCGGACGTTAGACCAGGGGTCAGCCCGAGCGAGGCCTCCCGCCGCTTGGAAGCCCGCCTACTGGGGACAAGCCTGGAAGCTCCGTGCCGTCGCGGCGGCAGACCCGGCCCCTTGCTGCAGCTCCGCACCGCGTCCCCGTCCCGGGATGTTGGTCCCCCGGGCGCTTCTCTCTGTGAAGATGTCCACCCGCGGGTGGGCCGTTGCCTTCCGCAAGGGCCGCTGCTGACTGCTGAGCGTCGCCCGCCGGCTGTGGCCCCTGCCCCTGGAGCACGCCCCTGGGTGCAGCTGGGGCACGTGACGTCCTGACAGGCCACTGAGCTCCACACCATGCATGTGAATGCCTCTACGAAGTCAGGAAATGAAGAAGGACCCGGAGACTCTGCCGCGGGGGGCGCAGGAATGAGCTGGCCGCTGGAGCAGGTGTGGGCTGTGGGGTCCGGGGCCAGTGGGCGAGGGAGGGCACGTGTTGGGATCCGGGGGCCCAGCGGGCAGGGGGCGTTGGCAACAACCCCCAGGAGCCGTGGGAGAAGCCAACTCCATCACCCGACAGCTCTCAGGTGTTTGGCCTCAAGACGTCAGGAACGGGCATTAAAAGCTTGCTTGGGGTCAGACCTCGGGCACCCGCTGCCCCCGGGGCCCGGGGACCATGGGGTCGTAGCCCCGGCGATGCCCAGCCCCGGGCGCCAGTCGGCCAGCCTGCCCAGCCTGGGCCCAGGGCCTCGCGCTCCCGGACCCAGGGAACAAAGGAGCAGTGTGGACGCGACATGTGGGGCCCAACGCGGGGACCACCCAGAGCCGGGAGGTGGGCGCGGGTGGGGAGGCGGGTCGGGCTCTCAGAGGAGGCTTTCTTGGGCGTGGGCTGCTGGCGTCCGAGGCGCAGGGATCGGCCCACGGGAGCTGTTCCCAGGGACATGACTCAGGGAAAACAGCTGAATTCTCAGGGACGGGGTCAACGTCCTGGAGGTTCCCGGGCCCCGGAGCTGCCAGGCCCTGGACAGGACAGGACGGGCAGCAGGGACCCGCCTGGAGCTGGAGCCCACGCCCCGGCCCACAGCCCCTCCCAGCCCACGGCACCACCAGGCAGCCTCGCTGGCTCCCTCGGGGTCTGCGCCACAGAAGCACCGCAGGGGCGTCAGCCTTGCTTGCCCGACGGCCAGGAGCCCCTCCCAGAGGCCCTAAGCCTTGGCCACAATGGTCCCACCCACCCGTCTGCCCTCCCGGGGCAGGGTCCCCGGGGTCAGATCTGGATCCCCAAGTCCCTCCGTGATGACTCCCGCCCAGACAGCCTCTCCCAAGGGCGGCCACAGCGCAGGTCCCAGGAGGGAGGAGAGCCCAGGCCCGGGCTGGGGGGGCGGGGGGTGCAGTCAAGGCGGGGGCGACGCCAGGAGGGCCCGGCCTGGGGCGCGGCCAGCTGTCCCCGCACCTGCACCTTCTGCACCCGGGAGTCACTCCGGAGCTCGGCCCGGCCGTCGGCTGCCTTGAGGCTGCAGACTCGTCACACGGCGGCGGCTGTGGGCCTGGCGTGAGCTCCCCGGGCCCCACCCCCGGGTCCTGGCCCCGCGCAATCTGGATTGTGGCTGGCCCCGGGGGTCTTGCCCTGTCTGTGCCCCGCGGGCGGCCTCTGGAGGCCCCGTTGCTGCTCCGCACGCAGGCCGAGCACCCGGCACAGACGTGGCCCCGGAGCCCAGCAGAGGCGGCTTGTGGCCGAGCGTTCCTCCCCGGGTGCTGCCCGGGTCTGGGCAGGGGCGGCCGCCCCTGCACCTGCACCCCGTGACCCCGCCTGCCTCCCAGCAGGTCGGGGCCCAGGGCCCTGCAGTGGTGAACGGCGGCGCCCACTTCACGTCCCACGCTCAGCTCCGGCTGCAGACAAGCTGCCCCCCGGATGCGGGCAGACCCGGGCACGGGGCGTCGCAGCAGTTGGGGTCACTAACGGGACACGCGGTTTTGAATGGCGCCCCGGTTCCTGCCACGCGCTCGCCTGGCGGAGGGTGGAGGGCAGGTGACCAGCAGCACGGAGTCTGAGCTCGAGGGCTACACGTGGGGACCCCACGGCCTGTCCGCAGAGCTCTGTGCGCTGTGCCCCCGGCATCCTCGCCGTGGCCTCGCCGTGGCCCGGGCTGCCTCGCTGTCCCCCCACAGCCCCTGGCCCGGGAGCAAGAACACGTTCTGACCCGCGTCCCGGCCACCGGGGGGACGACGCCTGCCACCAGGGCAGGACCAGCCCCGCTCCCGGGGCTGCAGCGGGAGGCGGTGCCTGTGCTGGGAGCTGGGAGCCAAGCCGCCAGCCGCACTCCTAGGGGGACCGCAGGGGATGACCTCCGAGTTCCGGCGCTCCAGGACCCTCGGGGGACGCAACAGCAGGTGTCCTTGCTCCCTCTGTGCACGTCCCGGGTCCCAGCCCTGCAGCTGTGGGACCGCCCACTGCCGGCACCGTGACCCCGAGTCAGCACAGGTTGCCCTCCTGCACCCACATGCACCCCCCCCCCGCCCTGCCTTCACCTCTGCTTCACCCCCGCCGCCCTCCCCCCCTTCACCCATTCCCCGCCTCCTCCCTCCACCCTCCCCTGCTCCCCCTGTGCCCATCCCCTGCACCCATCTATCCTCACCCCCATCACGCCCTCCCCCTCCCCCATCCTCCTCCTCCCCCTTGCCCACCCTCCCCCTGCTCCCCCCATGCCCATCCCCCCGCACCCACCTGTCCCTCTGCTGTCACCCCCACCATTCTCCTCTCCCCTCCCCAACCCCCTACCCCATTCCCTGCCTACCGTCCCCTGCTCCCCCTCCTCGTCCCTATCCCCCCTTGCCCATCTCTCCACCCACCCCCGCCACCCTCCCCCCTCCCCCCTGCACTCCCATCCCCCCTCCTTTGCCCATCTCCCCCCACCCACTGTCCCCCCACCCTCCCCTGCTCCCCCTATGCCCATCCCCCGTGCCGTCTATCCCCACCCCCGCCATCATGCCCTCCTCCTCCCCCATCTTCCTCCCCCTGCCCACCCTCCCCTGCTCCTCCCGTGCCCATCCCCCTGCACCCACGTGCCCCCCCAGCCTTCACCCCCGCAGTTGTCCTTCTCCCCCTTGCACCCATCCCCCTCCTTCGCCCATCCCCCACCCACGTCCCCCGCCCCCACCCTCACCCATCCCCCTCTTTCACCCATCCCCCCACCCGTCCACACTGCCTGACCCCAGCAAGCACCGGGGCTGCTCCCTCTGGGCATCAACACGCGTGTGACCTCACGGACGACACACGCGGCAGGGGAGGGCACCCCGGGTAACGGGCCGAGTTCACAGATGCGGGAATTAATCCCTAAACGAGGCTCTAGCCAACCCCTAAAGGAGGCTGCTGGGCGGCCTGGGCCCCGCTGGGCGGCCGCTGGATTGGCCATGCCTGCGCTCAGGCCCTGGGTCAGGTCGCCTCGAAGTGAAGGAAACCACACGTTAGAACTTGGCACTTTCTAGAAATATCAAAGCCAGTCCTCAGCCGACGCTCGTCCCATGTGTGACTTTGTTGCTGCAGAGCCGGAAACTACCCCGAGATCCTCAGCGTGAAGCCCCTGTGTCCTGGGGGCCCCTTTCCAAACCTCTGTCTTTTACTTCCCATTTCAAAGAACCATGGAGAGGCACCGGCTCTGAACGTGATACTGTATTTATTAAAGTGTTTTTATTAACAAACTTTCACCCGCAAGTTCCAAGTGTGTCGGCGCTGGGGGCACGCTGGCCTCGCCGTGTGGCGTCTGTGGGTCCCCGGAACCGCACGTCCCTCGGCCGCAGCTGTGACTGGTGTCGGGGCGGCACCGGGCATCCCCCGTGACGTGGCTACGCAACCACTTGGGCCCGCTGGGGCTCCGGTGTTCCGGGTCCTGTGACAGGCACGGCTCCATGTGCCTCGCTGCCTCCTCCGCCGCAGCCCCCGGCCCCAGGCCGCCCCCCACGCCCCCCACGGCGCTGTCCCCGCACGGTCCCCTCTGGCTCCTGTCGGGATCGCAGCACGCTCTCCGGGAAAACCCGGGGCTCCTGTGGACAGCGGAGGTGGGGTCCCCCGCCTGCGCACCCAGCTCCTCCCGGCCCTGGAGGCGCGGCGGCAGCGGGAGGCTGGGGGGTGCGGGGCGCTGCAGCCCGGCTCGCGTGGCTCCGCCCTGCAGGCAGGGGCAGTGGTGGACGCACGGGACGGCACACACCAGGCCTTCAGGGACCGGGCGCACGGCGGGCTGCACGTGCGCCAAGCTGCTGGCGTAGGCGGCACAGCGGGGGCACAGGCCGTAGCCGGGCCGCGGGGAGGCGAGCAGGCCGGGTTTCCAGTGTTGGAACACGTTGGCGCAGCTACACCTCTGCCTCAGGGAGAGGAAGGTGCACGCGGGGTGCTGCTCGAGCGAGGGCTGCAGAGAGGCCGGGCCTGCTTCGACCCTGGCGCTGGGGCTGAAGGCCACGTGCGCGGGCAGCCCCAAGGCCTTTGCCTGGCCACTGAAGGCCTCGGAGCACACGTGCGGCTCCTCGTAGGCCGCCTTCCCCGGGGCGGCGCAGCCGCGCGAGGCCAGGGGCTCCAGCTCGTAGAACTCCCGCTCCGCCTCGGACCTCGGGGCCCTGGGAGCCACGTGGTAGGCATTCCCGGCACGGGAGCCGCTCGGTGCCTTGTCTCCGGGCGTCCCGGACAAGCTGTGGGAGAAGGCGCCACACTGGAGCTTCCTGGGGAGGGGAATCTGGCCGCAGGTGCCCTGGGGCCCGAGGCACCGGCAGATGCACTGGAAAAAGAAGGTGGCGAAGGCCCAGCTGACACCCATGATGAGCATCATGAAGGTGCCGAGCTGTGTGTAGGCCAGAACCGTGGACGGCATCATCATGGCCCCCGCCACGAAGGTGGTCAGGGCGGCCATGGCAATGGCGGATCCCATGCGGCTCAGGGAGAAGATCACCTTCCCCTCCCGGTTGGTGTTTGGGGCCAGCCGGTAGGCCACCCCATAGTGGACGGCGAAGTCGACGGACAGGCCGACGGCCACCGAGATGATGACCGACTCCAGCACGTTGAGCTCCCACCCCAGCAGGACCAGAGAGCCGACGGTGACGAATATGGTCCCGGCGATGGAGACGATGGCGTACAGGCTTATGACGACGTTCCACGTGGTGAGCAGCATGACGCTGAAGGCCACGGCCACCGACAGCCCCATGGCGATGAGCGTGCCGTCAGAGAGGCTGTCCTGCAGGTCGTAGAACTCCAGGCTGCTGACGAACCAGCCGTTGCTGAGGCCCTCGGGCGCCGAGCTCAGCTCCCGGGAGATCCAGGCGTCCACCTCCTGGTAGAACTGGTGCATCCTCTCGTAGGCCAGCGTGAAGACATAGGTGCTCTGGAACTCCAGCACCACGGCCCGGATGGTGTCGTTGACGTCAAACCTCGGCCCCGGCGTCTTGCTGTCCAGGTGGTAGCCGGTGCTCCTCTCCAGCTCCATGATGGCCCTCTTCATGCACAGCTCAAAGATCTCCTGCTTGTAGGGGAAGCTCCAGCGCCGGCAGCAGAGGTAGAGCGCGGGCTCGTCGCAGTCCTGGTTCTCCATCCACTGCTTGAACGTCTCGATGAAGCAGCTCGTGAAGTCCTGCTCGTCCGTCTGGTGGAAGAAGGTCTGGTTTCTCAGCTTCTGGCAGAAGCGCAGGATCCAGAGCTGGGAGGCGGGGCTGGCGATGTTAAAGCTGCCGTCCAACACCAGCTTGCCTTTGCTCTTGGGGTTCAGGGGGTCGCCGTTGTCCTCTGGGGACACCCCCCACACCACCGTGATGGGCATGTGCAGCTCTTCCCCACGGTGGACGCGCTCGAACATGAAGAGCTTCTTGTACTCGGCGTCGTAGCGCTCGAAGGGGTGCGAGGGCCTGAACAGCTGGAACTCGGACAGCTCAAGCGAGGGCAGCTTCATCTTGGGGTTCACGCACACCACGTAGGCCCCGCCCACGCTCAGGGCCAGGAACCACAGCAGCCAAAGGTAGCGGAGCTTGATGACAACGCACGGCAGCACCTTCTCGAAAAAGACGCGAGAGGCTTCGGACACGGCGAGCAGCGCCCCATGGCACTTCCGGCGGGCGGCCGTCCAGCAGCTCTTGCCATCGTACACCTGCGGCTGCGGCTTCCGGAAGCAGCTGAACAGGTTGAGGAGGTAGCGCTCATGCAGGACGACCACGGCCGGCAGCCACGTGACCATGAGCACGTAGTTCACCAGGATGGCCGTGCCCGCGTACACCCCGAAGCACCGGATGGCGGTGATGTTGCTCACGTAGTTGGCGTAGAAGGCGGCGGCCGTGGTGAAGCTGGTGACGAACATGGACAGCGCCGCGTGCTGCAGGGTGATGCCCACCGTCTCCGCCGTCGCCGCGTGCGGCCTGTCGCACTTGGCGTAGCTCCACACGTCGCACAGGACGAAGGCGTCGTCTGCACCGATGCCGACCAGGATGACCAGCGCCGTCAGGTTCATGAACGGGAAGAACTCGAAGTTGAACACCACGCGGTAGAGGAAGTAGGACACGATCAGCGAGCTGATGACGGCAAACATGGTCATCAGGGTGATGAACAGGGACCTGGTGTAGGCGCACATGACCAGCAGCACCAGCAGCACCGCGATGGCCGGGTAGGCCGTGTCCGTCAGGAGGTAGTCCTGGAACAGGCTGTGCTTGATGCCGAACTCGATCCCGGCCACAGCGGTCACCCCGTCGGAGCCGTTCCAGTTCTCGAAGTTGTCCAGGTAGATGTCCATCATGCTCTCCCCCTTCTCCGTGGGAGAGAAGAGCATGCTGTACCTCAGCGTGGGCGCGGTAGGTGCCTTCGGGGCCAGGAAGTCCTTGTCCACCAGGAAGTGCAGGATCTGGTACACGGCATTGTACTTGACGCACTTGCGGGGCACACCGCTGCACTTGAGCTGGCCCTTCCTGCGGGTGCCCGCGTCCCAGCAGTCGGGCTGCAGCGTGCCGTTGCGGTAGTGCTTGGCGCAGGCCCGCAGCAGCTTCAGCGTGTGCGACACATCCCGCTCCACTATCTGCTGGCAGGACGACCTGTTGTTCAGGATGGCGATGTAGTTGCCCAGGGTCCAGCTGGGGCAGCAGGATGCTGCCGTAGTCCTCTGGCACAGGTCGCCGAACTGCGGGTGGGCTCTGATCTGCAGAGAGAGACACGCGGACACCAGCGTTTAAGGCCTGCGGGGGGGGGGGCAGGTGCACGGCCTCCCCCGAGCCTCCCCCCACGGCCCCCCTGGCGCGTCCCTCCGGGCGGCAAAGCACCAAAAAAACCTCCAGTGCAGCCTCGGTCTTAACGAGGAGGTAAAACCAGCAGCTCTTGAGGAGACTGGCCTTTTCAAAGGCACTTTCAGGGCAAGGAAGGGACGGGGGGGCCTGCACTCCTCCACCTGCGGGGCTCAAGGGCACAGGACGCCAGCTGCTGCCTTGGCTTGAAACCGCCGGTCATCGGCCTGAGGTTCCGGTTGACAAAGGCACAAATGCAACCAACTTAGCGGGAAGCCAAGGAGATGGTCACCCAGAAGAGCGCCAGCGAGCCCCCGGCTGACATCGGACACCGATGTCTGGGGTGCGTGGGGCCACAGCCAAGGGCTCCCTGAGCAACGAGCACAATGGGCCGCGGTGTCCAGTCCCATCCATCCACGCACGTGAGATGGATACTGAGTGGCAGCCGACGACGTGCACATCCTTCGAGCTCGTCTGGTAAAGCGCACGCACAGTGCACGCAGCCTTTCCTCCACGGTGGGAGGGAAACCGAGACACGACGCCAAGGCCACGGGGGCCGGGCCTCCACGCCGCACAACCCGGACGCGTGTGCATGAGGCTCAGCCTCCTCCTCCACCCGCCCGGCTGCCCCAGGCAGGAGACTCCACTCCGTAGCCGGGGGTGACTGCGTCTCCTCCGCAGGGCTGAGCCTCGCTCTGCCTGCATCTCCATGGACGGTAAAGACAAGTGAGCCCAAAGGGCGATCATTCCAAGGGGACCAAGGTGTCACCCCAACAGCCTGATCCGCCAGCTCGTTTCTGAAGAGCCACTGTTAGTTGGTGTTTGTGACATGGGTCATCGGTTCTGGTGGCCTCTGGGCACAGGCGTCCACACTGCCGACTCTGGGGACACGGGGAAGCGGCCGTCGGCCTGCTGCGTCCGGAAGGGGGGGGTGGCCCTGACGCCAGAGGCTCTCGGTCGGGGGCAGCGAGGGCAGACAGGCCGCGGCTGCGCAGAGGGGCACCGTCCAGGGCTCAGGAGCCAGGTGCTGGAGGTGAAGGGAGCCGGGCTGCCGGCCACAGCCCAAGACAATGGGCCTTGGATGATAGCAGGGTTTGCGTGCGAGCAAGCGTGGTTTGGCCAAAGGTTCAACGGTGACACGATAAATGCGGATCTACGGCGGGTCACCTGCCGAGCACCATCGAGCTTGGGCCCGGCCCGGTCTGCAGGCAGAGGCAGCCAACGGGCGACCATGCCAACGGTCCTCCAGGACCCAGACGGGCCCAGAAGTAAGGACAGAGACGGCCACCGTGGCCCCGAGCTGGACGCCGGTGCCTGAACCCACGTGGATGCAGCTCGAGAGATGAACGAATGATCATGCCGCGGGGGGAGTGGAAGTGACTTCTCGCAGCTCGGGGGTGGGGCGGCCCTGGGCTGTGCAGGGTGGGGAGCTGTGTCACCCCGTGGTTGTGCTGGGGCCGAGCACACGTTCGTGCCGGACGGTCACAGGGCTGAGGCCGCGGAGCAGCGAGAGCAGGGGCCAGACAGGGTGGCGGGGGATGCCGCAGAGCTTCAGACGACGCCTTAACCCATAAACTGCCGGCTACGGGGAGCCTCCCCGGAAGGCTGAGAGCAGGACAGGAACAGAGCACGTCCTGCTACAGGGCCCGTCCATCCTCACGTGCCACAGGCCAGCCTGCAGGTGCTGCTGGGGGCCCCGAAGCCCACGCCGCAGATGGGCGCTGTGACCTCAGACCCCTCCTGCGAAGCTCGTTGCCTGAGTGTGGACCTCCACAAGGGCAGGACTGAGGAGCCCAGGAGCTTCCAGCGGCCTCAAGGTCCCAGAAACACTCAGCGGCTGTGGAGCCAGACCCCGAGGGGGGCCCAGGACTGGCCTGCGGGGAGCGGCTGCCCTGCGCAACCGGCAGAAACGGTGAGTGAAAGGAAACGGTGGCCGGGAGGCTGCCTGGCTCGCTCGCCTGTTGCGCTGTGTCCAGGCCCGGCCTCCCCGTCTGTGCCTCCGATTCCCGGGGCAGGACCGCGTGCGGCCGTGCTGTCGCAGGAACCGCACACTGGAGCTGAGGGCCCTGGTCCTGGCGGAGCCCACGGGCGGAACGGCCCGTCCTCCCTTCGCAGACGCCACCGAGCACGGCCGGCAGGAAGCCACGCACTTGGACATCACGGCGCTGACTTCCTGCAGGAACAGCTGCTGCTCGACGTTCCCCTGCCACCTCCTGAGACGCGGCTACAACGGCTCAGGGCCACCCCCGACGTCGGCTGAGGACTTTTGCGGGATGTCACGACGTGACCCACAGAGGACGGGTGAGGGTCCGGGTGCGCGCGAGCCCAGGGGCACCGCACAGTCAGCCGCGACTCAAACAGCTACGCATTCTAGGCCGTGAGGACTCCCGGAAGATCCCAAGCGGAAATGGCACAAGGACACAGGACGGAAGGGACACATGGTGGGAAGGACGGGCATTACCGCCTGCGAAGACGGGACCCCGCGGGGGCGGGTGCTGCCGAGCAGGGGGCCCTGTGCTCGCTCCGGGCCGCCCGTCCACACCTCACGGCTCATAACATGTCCCAGCTTCCGGGTGATGAACTGACAGCTGCAGACGAGGAGATGACGCGACAGGCAGACGCTGGCCAGCGATCCAGGAACTTGGTTTGTTTGCAGACGGTCTGAGTCTGTGCGGGCGCAGCAGAGAGCAGATGGCGCGTGCGGCCTGATGGCGGGAGGTGCACACAGTCCTCCCGCTGGAGAGTCGCGTCGGGAGCCGGGAAGCCGGGGAGCCGGCCTGCTGACCACCAGGAACCCAGCCTCCCCCGAGGAGCCCTGTGTGCGGTGTAGACAACAGCACCAGGGCCAGGCCAGCTCTCAGCCCGGGTGCAAGCACGTCTCCCGCTGTTGGTGAGCTCACACGCTGGATGCATGCCCGGCACGCGGCGCCCTCCTTCCCCGGTGGCTGTGTGTGGGCAGGTGCGGCGGTGGCGGCAGCAGCAGAGTGCGCTCTCCGGGGGCCCCGGCCCCACCGCTCGGGCTCCAGGGACCGTCTCGCGTCCTCCGTCTGCAAGGGACTCCCCTCTTACAGACGCTGGCGTCCGGACGTCCCCTTCCCCGCCCGTGCCCTGAACCTGCCCCGAGACCTGCTGGTCGCCAGAGAGGCTGCGGGGACGAGGACACAGGGGGAAACCCTGCAACCAGCTGAGGAGAGACCGCCCGGGAAAGGAGAGCCAGCGTCTGAACTGCTGCCCTGGGAGGAAACCCGCGTGGGACACAGGAGGGGGTGCTGTGGAGGGGGCGCTGCGCCGGGGGCGGGGTGGTGGGTCCGCGGGGGCCACACGGGGGTTCCAGGATCCCGGGGCGCACACGCAGGCGACCAGGACGGAGGCCCCAGCGAGCACGCTCCGCCCGCGCTCACCAGGCTCAGCAGGGAAGCGACCGGCACGAATGCCAGCTCATTTGTCTGAGACGCACGCCAGGGTCACTTTACATACCCTCGAGTTATCCACGCTGCACATGGACTTAATGGCAGGTAAGCTCCACAGCGTGTCCCCTCCAGCTGACGCAAACACCACCCTGGAGTACCGGTCACCTGGTGACATGAAAAAGAAAAGACAAGGGTTCATAATTGTCCGCTCCCGTCATCAGACTCAGCATCCAGGAGCAGCCCTACTGGGGGAGCACAGGACGGGCCATTGGCAGCGGGGTCCCTTCCTACCCACGACACCGAGGGCTTGCCGGCCGTCCAGGACAGGTTAGCAACCACAATCCGAGAGAACCCGGACTTGGGAGACACGGCACAAGCCCAAGGAGGACGTGCTGGGCTGTTCTCCGCAGCCGTCAGCCGGGGGCAGACGGCAGGAGGTCAGTTTAAAAGCACTGAGACCAACCCGCCGGGACCCGAGGGGCCAGGGTCTACACTGCGCTGATGGCGTGGATGCAGGCCAGCCGTGGAGCCCGCCACCCCTCTCGCCCCCCATCGCGGGCACGCGTGTCTCAGGCGCGGGAACCCAAGGACACACCGCTGGGCCATCAGCGCCACTTCCGCTCCGTCCGCCCCGGGGACTTCGTACGAGTTCGCCTGGCTGTGCCGACACTGCGGCCACCTGTGACCGTGTGAATAAAGCTTTACCACGCGAGCTTTTATTCACCACCAGGAAGTTTCCTTCAGCGAACTCTTCACCTGATGGCCGTTATCCTATGTGGACTTCGAAGAGCAAATCAAGGCTGTGGAAACAGCCATCTCCCCCTCGAGGCGGAGCCCTGGCCAGGGGTCGGGTGTGCATGTGGACTGCGGGGACCCCAACCGGCCTGTGTGGGGACTGGCCAAGGGAGGCCTGTCTGGGGATGCACACTGCCACTCCGAGACAGACCCAGCAGCCTGGACATTCACCAGAGCTCAGATTTTCTAAAATCGCAGAAAAAGCCACACGTGCTCCTTCCCGGGACCAGGACAAAACGTCCCTGACCTCCTACTGTGCACCTGCCTGATGCTGTGGGTGCTGCAAGCTCGGCTACGCCTAGAAGCATCAGAGGCCCGGTGAGGCCTGCTAGAGAGCTAACAGGACAGGAAAGCACGCATTTTGGGGCATTTTCAACAGATTTTAAAGAGCTGAGTTCAAAACAGCGCTGCTGTGAAGATTCACTGGGGGAGAAGCTGTAGGTCTTCACGTCCTTAGACCCAGGGCGTGACCCCAGGGTCCCAGGATCGAGTCCCACGTCGGGCTCCCTGCAAGGAGCCTGCTTCTCCCTCTGCCTGGGTCTCTGCTCCTCTCTCTCTCTCTGTCTCCCATGAATAAATAAATAAAATATTTTAAAAATATATATATATACGCTCTCTGAATGAAACAAGACTTCAAAAGTATATTTCTCTAAGATAGTAGATTATTTTAGGGGTTCAATCTAAAAATATGTACCTGACAATATTTTTTAAATAATGTAAAAAATTTAAAATGACTTGGAATTTGGGGCAAGATCAAGAATCTCATTAGATATTTTGTGTCCCTTTAAACTAAATCTCTTATTGACTTTTGTTACAGGCAAATAAATCCAGCTTAGTGGTCGACTGACCCTGGGAGAAGTAAAACTACGAGTCACTGCTATCCGTGTCAGCGCCCAGCACGTCTTCCCACCGGTCTGGATTTAATTGCGCTCCATTCTGAGCGCGAGGAGCCCCGAGGGGCTGTTCACCTGGGATGCCACTCACTCGGAACATCGCAGAAAAAGCTGTCTTTGTGGAAGTTCCAGTCGACTTCTCTTTTCTCTCTTTCATAGTGGTCATCCGACCATCTATCATCACGATGGCTGAAACAGAACAACAACGTGGTCTTGAGTAAAGTACCGTCAGCAGCACAGGGCACATAGTCAGCAACGATGTAACAGCAATGGAGGCGAGCCCGGCATAGAGTAAACGTGTGTCTCTGCTGTCCTACGCCCGGAACTAACCACAACGCAATAATAAACACTTAAAAATAATAAAGTACTAGCTGTTTCAAGGCCAACAAGCGCACCTGTAACGGTCTACCCTCAGTCATGACCTACTTGAAATGAAAAGGATGCACCAACATCCATTTTCTCACGTCTATAAAAGGGGGAAAAAAAAACCCAAGCCCTCACTCCTTTTATCTTAATACAACAAAATCTTAAAAAACAACGAGAATGTACACAAGTCAGCGGCAAAGACTTTGAGCTTAATCATCTTGCTCGGGCAATACTTAGAAGTCGAATTCATTCAGCAAGGTTTTGTGTGAAAGTTAATAAACAGTTACCTTTTCGCTTGTTCATCTGCGTACTTAAACGGATAATTTGCCAATGTTGCCTTGTATCCTGTATTTTTCACCATGTTATTCCACGTAACCAGTCTCTGGCCTATCGCAGTCCCTCTTGGCTCAAAACCCTGAGACAAAATATCACAAATTCCTATTAGTGCCAGTTTGCTTCAGGCCAAGTAGGGTCCCAGCGGGTTGGGGACGCGGTGCTGGGATGCCGTGTGGCTTCGGTAGGAAGCGGGGACACGCTCGCAGCTGCCCGGGGACGAACAGAACCAAGCAAGGTTGCCCGACCCGACGGCGGCCTCCGTTCACAGTGACAACGCAGTTAGGCTCCCTGGTACGTGATCCGTCTCAGCAAAGGGGGGGAGGGGGGCTGTATCCGAAGCTTCTCTTTCAAGATCACACCTAAGCAATTAGCAGGTGCTTACTTGGATGTCACAAAAAATTATGGTCACATCAGACCATGTCATGCAGCATTTTACAGGAACATTTACTCAAAAACAGACCCTGCAAAAAAAAAAAAAACAAAACAAAAAACAAAAAACAAAAAAGAAAAGAAAACAAAACAAAAAGACCCTGCTATCATCTCTCTGTGATGCTGAAATTCCTTTCACTGCCCTGCTGGGGGAAAAAGGGAGATATTCAGTCTTAAAGACGTTATGAAAACATTTTTAGAGAATCCAGATTCTCCATTTTACTGCTTTTTAACTTAAACGTGGCAGCTAAGGAGGAAAACCTCCAGGTTGGTAGCGGTGAGAGCAAGTCCGTTGACCTCTTAGGAACCTGAGACTCGGAGGACATGGGTTTACTTTTCAGGAGGAGAACTGCAAGCTCCTGATGGCTCAAGGAGGTTTGGGGGAAACAGGATAGAAGTCACGTAATGCAACAGGTATTAAGATACTTAATTCCCTGAGGTCACAGAGACGCGACGGGCTGAGTTCTCCTTACCAGCAGCGGATCAGAGAAGTCGGGAAGCTCCGGCACTAACACCCCAACCAAGGCGCAGACTACGATGAGCAGGGTGCACATGCCCAGCACCAGCACGGGCCAGTCGGCTATCAGGGACGCGTAGCTGCGGGGCAGAGAGGAGCACAGGAGGGCGCTTAGACGCAGCCAGAGGCCCGGTGTCACGACAGGAGGGTGTTGATCCCAGTTCGAACCCCGTCCAGGGCCTCTCGGTGGGGCGGTGGCGAGACCAGGACACGGCACGGGCCGCGCACGGAGCCCCGGACACAGGTGCACGGCCTGTGCCCCGCGGGGAGCCCCCGCCGCCTGCAGTCTCCTCCAGGACTCGCTCCTCCCGCCTCGAGCTGCGTCGGCTCCTGGAGAAGAACACGGTCCACCACAGGCTCGCAAATTCCTCATCAGAGTGACCAGACCACACCGAGCCCGGCCCCGAAGGGCTCTGGCTCCGGCTCGCGCCGTCAGGAATGCGGGGGCTGCGGCTGCAGGGCAGGCACTGGTTTCATGTAGCATCCGCACCCAGAACAGCGCCTTCCAGAGGGGGCCGTGGGCACCCACCCCGTCCTCACTCTCCGGCCACCCGCCCGCCGCCGGGCCGCAGGTCCCCTCCCTACCGCCAGCCCAGCCCCAGGTCCAAGTCCTTTCCTCCGGGTGCCCCTCCACCCCGTAGGACCCTGGTCCCCATTCTCATCACGGGCTCACAGGTCCGGCTCTCGGGGGCATTTACTTCAAAGTGAATCTCAATATGGAAATTAAAGTGGGGCACGACTATGCGTGCAGGGAGCATGTCCCCTCCCTGGTGCCTGGGGATCCTGCGGGGCTCTCCCTTACAGCCCAGCCTCCGGAGGAGGGACTTACACTCACTCCGATGCTTCACACCCATCGCCGCCCTTCATTCTCCTGGCCCCATGCGACGCGCCGGGGTGCGGTTTGGACACGTGCAGAGAGCCAAGGCCGGCCCAGCCGCACGGCGAGCCCGTCCCGCGGAGCACACGGCACACTGCCGACACCAGCAGCGTCTCACGCACTTGTAAGCGGCCAACACAGTGGACCTTCAAAGGTCTCATCACGAGAAAACAGAAGCCTGCACCTTGCCGTGGTGGTCGCGTCACCATCGGTACAGACACTGGATCGTCTAGCTGCACCCGAAGCTGACGTGAGGTCGCCTGTCAGCCGGAGCTCACGTGCGGAGTCGCCAACAGGAAGCCCAGCTCCGGCCGGGGGTAGGGGGGAGCTCCCAACCACGGCGACACCATCTCTTGCTTCGAACATGAGTGCGACAGGGACACAGGACTGAGTCCAGGCGCCTCGAGCCTATGTTGCCCCCGACTCGCCCTGTGCGCTGAGCCCCTAAGTCACACACTCAACATCGTGATGCAAGACCACTTAGGTCCGTGTGCGTCCGCGTCCGAGCATCACTCACAAGCCCCGCCGATTCCGAATTTAACAACTAGCTCAGGGAAAATCCCTCTAGATGAGATGGAATGATGCTTGAATGTGACTCCGAATGTAGTGAAAACACACCGACCGCGGGTGCTGGTTGGGGCTGCTCAAGCAGACACAGTTTCCGGAACACTCCCGGCACGGAGAGGCTCTGATTTTATTTCCTCCTCCACCAAATGCAAACTCAAGATGAAAGCGACCGGCAGGGGGACGGTTGGGTCCTTTGTCAGCAGCGCATTTGAGGCTTCCTGTTCCCGGCTTCATCCTACACCGTGGACCTTTCCAGTATCAGCCTGTGACGTGAAAATGGCCCCAGGCCGAAACCACTACTCACGACGCAGTATTTTAACTAGACCCGTTTTCCCACAAATGAACCTACAGACCGCTTGCCGGCGGGGGGCACCGGGCCTCGTTCCAGCGCCGAGGGCTGACCCGCCCACGTAATGACTTCTAGTCTTGTGTTCTCGAAACACCTGCTCACGCATGCGTTGCAACCTGGAAACCCTCTTCAGTCATTGCTTTCCTTCGCGTTCAGACGTCGGATGTGACTTGACAGTCGCGTGTGTGCTGACTCCCCAGGGGAGCCTCGCCGCGTTGGCCGTCTCCGCACGCGGCTTCCAGACCTGGCCCAGGACACGGTTCCCACACCAGGGAGTGGCCGTGCTGCTGCCATTGGGGGAAGGACTCCGACGCGCGTCTGTCCTCAATACCAGGGGCTGCTGCAGTCCGTCTGCTGCTCCTGCTGCCCAAGCCCAAGCCCATGCAGCCGTGGGCACTGCACGGGACGCTCCAGGCTCTCATACAACGTGGAACCCACGCCATAGCGGCATGACACTACGCTGCAAATCTAATAAAGCAGGAGAACCAGAGGAGTAAAGGAAGTCAGATGTGGCCTAAAGGAGTCAGAGCTACGTTTGCCCCTAACTCCACTCCTGGTGAGTCTGGGCTCGAGGTCCGTGCTGCAACGGAGCTCAAAGAAGCGGGTGCCTACGCGTTTCGCTCCTGGGAAGTGGACCCTGGGAGCCGGCGAGGACGTGTCATAAGGCCCCAGCTTTTACTGTGATCCGTCCTGCACATCCCGACTGAAGTGTGCAGACACCACAGCGCGGCTGCAGGAGCCGACGAGTCCGGGGAGCTCTCCAGGCAGGCGGCCCGGTCCCCTCGGGAGCACACCGAGGCAGCCGGCACGGACCCGAGGTGCTCGGCCGCTCGCCCCAGACGGGACGCAGGGTACGTGGCACGATCCACGGCCACAGGGGGCTGGGTGGGCCTGCTGGGTGGCCCGGCCCGCTCGCCGGCTCTTCGCGTGCATCCCCCATGCCCCTCGGGCTGCCGGCTACCTCGTAACCGGGCTCGCTCTGGGAAAGATCAGAAATAACCGTCAAAGGAAGGGCATGAAGCCTCTCACAGGTGGGCCCCCGAACCCCCAGGCGCGGTGGGTCCCTGGTGCCCGGGGAGGCCACAGGCCACCGTCCCGTCACAGCTCGTGAGGCTCTTTGCCTCACCGGCCCCTCCTCTCCGCAGCAGGCTCTCCTTTCTCCCCTTCCGTTTGCTTTAGCCCGCGTGCCCCGCACTCAGCACCCAGCCTGTGGGCACCGGGCGCTCTCCCGGACCCGCCAGCGCCAACCGCCAGCGCCACTGGTCTCCGTCCCCGCTGAGCTGAGCGGACTCAGCACCTTGCTAACTGCCCCTTTGCTCCCTGAGAATCTTCCTCCTTAGCGTCTCCCCTGGTCTTTCCCTTCATAATCGCTCCTAATTCCTCTCGTCCCGCGTGGGGCAGCGGGGGAGCCTTGCACAATTCGATCGGTCACAGTTTTCCCAGCGACATCGGCTCTTGGCGCAGCGGGAGGGCAGACGGGCTGCGGGCAGGACACGGAGCCCCCCCCCTCGCTTGGACGCGACAAGGTCGATGCAGCCGGCGTCGCAGAAGAAGGTGCAGGCGTCCGGGGACCAGAACACGGCAGATGGCAACCTCGCCCTTAAGGGACTCGGAGCCTCATACAGAAAATCAGACAACTTCACAAATACTTGCAAAACCAGGCCAAGAAATACGTGTTTTCAGAGGGATATAGAGAAATGTTCGGTGACTTCAGGAGCGATTACTCGCAGCTAAGGTGGGACGGCAGCAGGAGAGGCTCTGTTGAAGAAGCTGGGTGCGTACGTGCCTGTACGGAAAAGAAGAATCTGGGACCTGCAAAAACACCAACCTGATGATAGAGAAAATGTGTATGACTGTCTTCAAAATGCAAAAGCCTTGGACATATGGGAGGGCTCCACGCTTGGCAGAAAATGGCCACGGCTGCACAGTAACGTGGACGTGGCGCGGCGAGAATGGAGGATTTCATGCTGTATGTATTTTAGCAGGATTTTAAAAAATAAACAATTTCTAAACGGAAAGGGAGTTTACTAATGGAAAGTTATGTAGTGATTATAGTGGAAAGAGAGCATAAGGTTTTAGTCGCCAGCGCCTCTGCAGCAGGTGACTTTCAAAGGTTGCTAAGTCGCCTACACCCCCTGCAAGCACGTCTCCGAGGGACCCGTGCTTGCTTGCTTTCTTTCTTTGAAGAAACGTGTATCCATTTAAATTTAGCTTTTCTACTGAAAAGATAAAACCTTCAAAATTTCCAAATGAAATACATCCATTTTAATTAGGGTAACAACAGTTTTGGGGAGAAACACAGACAACCATCTGCAATAAAGCACCACAAACAAAGGGGAGGAAAGGCAGTTGGGCCAATATAGATGACGAGACACACAGAGAATCTAAAGACTAAAAATCCACCTTCAGGTCAAAATCCCTTTGGGAGACAGGATGACTCATGCAGGCAACTCAGGGAAATTTACTTTTCCTTCATAAAAATATGAATGAGAAAGGCAGAAACAGCAGCAAAGTGTGAACAAAGCACCGGAGAGGAAAGTAGGCAAGTGACTTTATGATCTAATAGGAGGACGCAGATGACTTTACCTTTTTGGGAACTTGAACGGTCTGCATGGTCTGAAAAAAAAAAAAGCAGAGGAAAACCAATGAGGAACAAGGCATCGTAACATTAAGGCGTTTTATGTGCCCTTGTTTCGCTCCTGGCCGACGCGGACCGTCTGCACCGTAGGACGGAGCGGGGGTCACGCTGCGCGGTGCCCAGACCCCGCCCCCTCGAGGCCCCCGCACCTCCTGTAAACAGCCCGCCGACACCCCCTTGCACCAGAAGCATTCTTCTCCGTCTTCCCCAGTGTCCCGCATCCAGCTCCACAGCCCACTGAGCAAGTGCCGGCCCTTCCCTCTCGGCCCCGACGTGCTGGACTCGGGCTTAACCTCCAAGCCCTCTGCTCCCACCAGAGTCGTTTTCTCCTATTTACTGGCACGTGGCAGGCACTTAATAAACATTTGGTGAATAAACAAAATGCACCACTCACGCTGCTCCATGTGGTGAAGACCCCTGGGAGCTCCCGAGACCGCCACCCCTCCCCCGCCACGGCCTGGGGCGGCCTCCCTTCAACTGGGTAACCGGAGAATGCTAGATTGCCTTCCTCATCTCATCAATCCTAACCAAACAGCATATGGCCGTGGGCCGGCCGCAGTGGCAGACATGAGAACTACTCTGTCCTCCGTTAACGGAGCTGCAGGTCACAGGGTTCGCAAAAACGTGATACGGTGCTACTTACCTCGGTGAACTTCTCTTTGTTTTGGAAACAGGACGATTTTTTAAAAAAAGACTTAATTTATCTGAGAGAGAGCATGAGCGGGGGGGGGGGCAGAGGGAATGGGAGAAACAGACGCCCCCCCTCCCCGCCCCAGGCAGGGAGCCCCAGGTGGGGCTCGATACCAGGACCCGGAGATCCTGAGCCAAAATCAAGAGTCTGACGCATAAGCAACTGAGCCACCCAGACGCCCAGATAAGGGAGCATCTTTGATTACGTTTCTTAGGATCAAGAGCTTTGAAGTCAGTAGTCACTGGCTAGTGAGAATGTGCCTGGGGACATCTAGAGCTTTGTCTGCCTCTCTCTCACAAGCACACTCAGCCCACTCCCACCTTGTCCGTCCCTCCCCACTTCCCTACACCTTGTCAGGCTCCGTTGGGCTCTCCATCCTGCAGGAGGGATCCTCTCATATCCAATACTGCAGCGACCACTAACTTTGATGGTTAATCAGAAAGTCAACATGAAAAATTCTAAAAACGTGACACACACATTCCTTAAATATCAATTCATAACTTCAACACAAATGTATGCTCAACTGCCCATCTCTTCTCCCACAAGCCGAGCCGCCCCGTCCAGGATTGCCAGTTCTTGACGCATCCTGAGTACGTACGCTGCTACGATACACCTGAATTTTGATGGCTCCCCTTAATTTTCTTACTATTGTTTCTCTCATGCCTCATATCATTTTTGACAATAATTACCTCTTATTGATCTTCCTGAAAACTACCATTTACTTTTCACAAGAACAACTCATCTCTTATTAGACCCTATACATAAATGGATTATTTTAAAATTGAATTAAACAACACAATTATAAAAACGCGCAGCCGGCACGCACAGGTTGGGTAACCATCCTCCTCGGACTCTAGGAGCAGGGGTGCGTGGCTGCCATGGAGCACGGGGACGGGGCGTTGTGGGGACGGCGGGAGGAGTGACACTACTGAGTCTGTGAAGGCCTTAGAGGGGCTTCTGTTCAACACAGCTACTATTCGAGAAGTAATAAAGAACATTTAATTTTGGGGGGTAAATCTACCTGAAAACCAAAATACTACATTTTCAATGTAATTGCATATTTCTTGGTTAAGCTTTATTGAAATATAATTCACAAACCATACAATTAATCCGTTTAAACTGGTTTTTACAGAGCGGGAGGGCAAGGTGCTGAACACAGAAGCAAATCGCTAAATTTGTACATGAACCCTTAGGTTCTTAATGTCCTCAAAACCACTCCCTGAATTTCCATGGGAACGCAGCAGACTTTGTTGTCTTTAGGTCTGAAGTGACCCTCGGAGCTGCAGCTCTGGGGCAGATCATACTGAGCAGTTGCAAAGAAATGATAATTTATCATATACACTTTGGGTTGTAACAAATGCCAATTTTCTCTTTCCTCCTACTCAGCCCCGCGAACTTGTTTATTTAACAGATAAATCCGTGGATCTATGACTAATTTACTCCCTGGAGGCAGAAACACCCATAGACCCATCACGTTGTTCTGTCTGAATAAAGACGTCATTCTGTGTGTGTTTGGGAAAGCAGGGATGGTCAGATCCGTTGCCACCAAGGCACCTCTTGGGGAAACGTGAAATCCCTCGGAGGCTGTCACACTGACGGACGTGACAGGTGACAATTCAACCACAGGTGGACCCAAGACCCATCTGCTCTGCGCTGTCGCCATTGGAGACGGTGGCCTGGCCGCTCTCGCCATGGCAAGGTGCCCACCACACTCGCACCCGCCTTCTTCCTCCATCTGAACCTTTCCGCGTTGCTACTCTCAATCTCCATCTGATCAGTCTTGGGTTGATGAATAATGACTCTAAAGACTAACAGATCTGCTCCCTATCACGGATCGAAGGCATCGTTTCCAGGGGCCTTTCACCTTCTAACACCCTATAGTCAAAACACACGCCGGAAACCAATTAGTTAACCTCAAGTGGAACACCTCCTGGTCTTTGGTTCGGTTTTTAGCCTTTTTTCAACTGAGAAAAAAACAGACAGTGTTTGCTCGGCGGCACAGTCCAGGGGAGCCTGGGCTGCAGGCCCGTCTCAGAGGGCTGGCCGAGCGGGTGTCCCTGCCCCGTCCAGAACCCACTTCTGTCCTCATGCGGGTGACACCCACGTCTTCACGGGGCCATGCTCCAGGCTGCTTCAGAAACACTCTGTGAATCTGGAGCTCGGGGCCTCGAGATCGGTAGTCGGTAGCCCGGGCACGTCCCACCAGAGAACAGGGGGTGCCGGTGAGGCCCGCAGCTCCAGGGCCCCGACGGTGCGGGCCTCGGTCCAGGGCACCCTGACCCCGCAAAGCTCCCAGGAGGCCAGCAGGGAGCCACCAGAACTGCCTCAAGACAGATACGGCAGGAAGGGAAGTTTCTTAAAAAGGTAATGGGAAAAAAAAAGTATGAGAAAGAAGTTAACAAGAAACAGAAAAAAAAATGTGGAAAAGCTACAAATGCCGTTTCTTTGTGTCCCTCGCCTCTCCTGTCTTGTAGCGGCGTCTGGGGACGGATTGGGAGACGGCAGGCTGAGGGAAATGAAATCAGGGAACGGCGCGCATACCACTCCCAGCCCGTGCGCCGTGGGCAGAGCTGCACCGTTAGCGCCACGACCTCCAGACGCAGTGTCAGGCCTCACAAGTTCCGTTTGGGAAAATCCACACTATGATGGAAAACTGTGTCTTTTCTTTATTACTTATTTTTTTTAAAGCACAGCAGACACATGCTGTCATGTTAGCGGGGGCGCACAGCACGGTGACGCGACGACACGTGTGCGTTACACTGTGGCCAGGCCTGTGGCTGCACCTGTCACCACGTGTCCCCGTGACAACGGCAGGACTGGGCCCCCCTGCGGCACCGTTCCTGCGGGACTCATCCATCCAGACTGGAAGCCGGAGCTCCTCCCCTTCACCCGACCCTGCACTCCTCCCCTCTGCTCTCGTTTGCTTTTAGGTTCCACAGGATCATCTAGTGTTTGTGTGACACCCTCTGGTACGTCCTGGTGGCTGCAAATGGCAGGTCTTCTCCCTTCTTCGTGGCTGAGTGGTGTTCCATCGTGTTCCTGTACACCGTATCTTCTTTTTTTAAGACTGCAGTATTTTATTTACTTTTTTGAGCAATCTCCATGCCCAGTGTGGGGCTCCAACTCGGCCCTGGGACCAAGAGTCCTGGGCCCTAAGGACCGCCCAGCCAGCAGCCTCACTGCCACAGCTTCTGTGTCGGGGCATGTGTTGGTGGACGCGGGGGCTGCCTCCTCGGCTACTGGACACCGGGCACATAAATCCGTTCAAATCAGTGGTTTCATTGTCTTTGGAGCAAACCCCCAGCAGTGCCATCGCTGGGCCGCGGGGCAGCTCTGTCT